GGGAGAATGGTATAGAAAAACTAATATTACGCTTCTTATGGAACCAAAAAGACCCGAATATCAAAAGCAATTCTAGGCAACAAAAACAAAATGGGAGGCATTAATATTCCAGATATCAAACTATACTACAAAGCTGTAGTAATTAAATCAATATGGTATTGGCATAAAAAAAGGAATATTGACCAGTGGAACAGAGGTGAGAGTCCTGATATAAAGCCATCCTCATATAGCCATCTAATCTTTGACAAAGCAGACAAAAACATACGCTGGGGAAAAGAATCCCTTTTCAATAAATGGTGCTGGGAAAACTGGATAGCCACTTGTAGAAGGCCAAAACAGGACCCACACCTTTCACCTCTCACAAAAATCAACTCATGCTGGGTAACAGACTTAAACCTAAGGTATGAAACTATTAGAATTCTAGAGGAAAAAGTTGGAAACACTCTCCTAGACATCGGCCTAGGCAAAGAGTTTATGAAGAAGTCAAAAGGCAATCACAGCAGCAACAAAATATAATAAATGGACATGATGAAACTACAAAGCTTCTGCACAGCCAAAGAAATAGTCACAAAAGTAAACAGACAACCTACAGAATGAGAGAAAATTTTTGCATCCTACGCATCCGATAAGAGGCTGATAACTAGAATATACTTAGAACTCACGAAAATCAGCAAGAAAAAAATCAAATAACCCTATTAAAAAGTGGGCAAAGGACTTGAACAGAAACTTTTCTAAAGAAGACAGAAGAATGGCCAACAAACATATGAAAAAATGGTCAACATCTCTAATCATCAGGGAAATGCAAATCAAAACCACAATGAGATATCACTTAACTCCAGTGAGAATGGCCTTTATCAAAAAGTCTCAAAACAATAACTGCTGGTGTGGATGCGGAGAGAGAGGAACACTCCTACACTGCTGGTGGGACTGCAAACTAGTTCAACCTCTGTGGATAGCAATATGGAAATACCTTAAAGCGATACAAGTGAATCTACCATTTGATTCAGCAATTCCATTGCTGGGCATCTACCCAAAAGATCCAATGACACTCTACAAAAAAGACACCTGCACTCAAATGTTTATAGCAGCACAATTCATAATTGCAAGGCTGTGGAAATAGCCCAAGTGCCCATCAATCCATGAATGGATTAATAAAATGTGGTATATGTATAGCATGGAGTACTATTCAGCTCTAAGAAACAACGGTGATATAGCACATCTTATATTTTCCTGGTTAGAGCTGAAACCCATACTATTAAGTGAAGTTTCCCAAGAATGGAAAAACAAGCACCACATATACTCACCAAAATTGGTATTAACTGAGTAGCACCTAAGTGGACACATAGGTACTACAGTAATAGGGTACTAGGCAGGGGGGAGGCGGGCGGGTATATACATATATAATGAGTGAGATGTGCACCATCTGGGGGATGGTCATGCTGGAGACTCAGACTTGTGGGGGGGAAATGGGCATTTATTGAAACCTTAAAATCTGTACCCCCATAATATGCGAAAAAAAAAAAATTCAAATAGTGAAACTTCACTTCTCTGGGATTACACTGTATCTACTCAATTCCACAAATCTATGTATATTCTGACATGAAATAGAATTTGAAAAGATGGAGATTCTGAGATTAGGCATCTGTACATTCTAGTGATATATGATAACATGTTCTATATGAGATATCAGGGAATGGAAATTTGAGTCATTTGAATTTATCAAGTATTTACTGAAACACCTACTATAAAAAAGTTATTATAGCAGAAGGGTAGAAAACAAAAAGCTAGTCATTAAAAAAATCTGTCAAAAAAAAAAAGGATTACAAATTAGTATATAAGTAACTAGAATACAAAATAGACACAAAATAAATTTTCTAAAATACCAAGTGCTATATGGGCTTAGGAAAGAGAATAAGAAAAGTCTTTATGAAGAAGGTGGTGTTTGAAATGACAGGCTTTGGAGATATAAGATTAGGAGAAAATGTAGCAAATACTGATTTCTTTACAAATTCTTTAGAAAGTATACTTAGCCTACAATTAATCTCAGAAGAAGTCAGAAGTTTCTCTAGTTTCAGAAAACTAGTCACCAACGTAGGTAAATGCATTTAGAATAATCAGTCAAATCCCCACCAAATCTCTAATTACAACTTGGTCATAAATGAAACTTTCTAGTAATAAATTACTCCTTCACATCCTCTAAGATGAATTTATCAGATTATTTCACAGAAATCTACCAGGGAGAGAGCAAGAACTTTAAAACAAAAACATTTTAAGTTTGAATGAAATATTTTAGAATAATATGCACAATGATAATTTAAATTATAAAAAGGCTTACCTTCATTATTGAAATTTAGATACAAAAATGGAGCACAAAGTGAGTCAAGACCTAATGTAGAAGGGTTGGGAGAAAGAAGTCAAATGAATATAATGCAGAACTGTAGCTATACACCTTATTTAGTTCTTTGTATTACCTCCAAATGGATTAAATGTTATAAGTATTAAGTATTAATACGTATTAATATAATACATGCAGAAATGCAGCAATTCACAAATTACTGTGAGAAGTAAATGATAGTACCTAGTACATAGTAATGGTCAAAGTACAAATCAGTTATTATTATCAACATTATTATGAGCTGAAGAAAGAAATATAGTAATAGAAAATATAAGAATGTTAGGAGGCTTTGGATATGGTCCCATCTCTGACACTACCCTGTGTGATCTTGACAATTATCTGTATTTTTCAGGCAATTTTTCTTATCCAAGAGATACAGATTTGTCCTATATGTTCTTTATCTTTGTTAGGAGAATATAAAACACCTCTAAAATGAACATAACTAAGAAAAATAATATCTTTAAGTATGGCCAGTAAGAAATGAAGAATTAAATTATAAAAGCAGCTGCTTATAGCAACCCATTCAAATATAGGGCTAGGTGGAATGGGTTTCTCATTCACGACTTTACCAATGGCAACAAAAGTAATAATGGCAAAATCTAAAAATCAAGGATCTGGACTATTAAAGATACCTCCCCTGCTCCCCAAAAAAAGACAATAAATAAAATGAGAGATTTAGGGTGATATCCTATTATTTAATTCCTAACCATAATAAGAATAAATTGGGAATCATTAACTGTAAGAGTGTCAACTAGCCCAAAATTATTTAATTATTTGCATAAGCATTAAAAATATGTACCCACAACGATTACAGTAGCAACAAATATTTTTTTCTGCTTTCCTAATGAATGTGATGGCAAGTTGCTTCATTTTAAATATCATGCATTTAAATGATATCTACTAGGCATTTAGATAAGGTTTAAAAAGAAATTCTCATATAAACCTATCAAAATATGAATCAGAGCTTTAGTATAGACTTTTCCCAAAGCCAAGGATGTTTTGACATTGTTTTAATTTTTTAAATTGGCAGTCATGTAAGAAATAAGCTTCTCATATTCCAAGAAGAGCCTTAATAACTAAACAAGTTACCTTGCCAATACACAAGATCAGGATGAGATACTACCCAGGCTTTTAACACACGTCTAAATTTTGCATGCCCTTCTGGTGATGACAGCAGCTCGTCGTACTGATGACAGCGAGGAATGTCCACTTCAATCTGTTAAAACAGCAAAGCAATAAGGAGAAGCTATAACAGAGCAATCCCCAATCATCCCTGAACTCTTACTCCTTGAATAAATAAGAGAGACTAATACGAATTTCAGAATAGACTACCTTCATAATCCTAGTGTCTCAAGTTTTTCAATTTTTTATTGATCTTCTGGAGACACCAGTGAAGTTGTATGTACACTTAAACGGGAAAAAGACCATTTCTTTTGAAAAGGTATGTATTTCAAAAATATCTTCCTTTACAATGTTGTCTTTAAAAAAGAGCAAACTTTTCAGATAAAGAAATACAATTATTAAAAAGATCACTTGACAGAAATTTCTTTAAAGTGTTGTTGTAACTCACTATATTATAAGAATTATGCTCACTCTAACACTATCTGTACATGGCAGTGGCTAAGCATTCATAATGAAAGAAAAAAAAACCTCCTCATGTCTTCCTAAAATTTAAAGATTTGGCAGAATTATCTTAGGTTTTTTTTTTTAAAAAAAAATCTAAATCATACTTGTCTATCTGTAGGAATTGGAGTGTCTTTATCAATTGCTTCATACTTGGCATGAATAGCCCCCTGCAAATAATAAAAGAAGATACATTAATTTATCATATCCTTAATACAATTGGCAATATAGACAAATCTATTTTTTTATATATATCTATCTTTGAAAATGTACCCAACTATGCATAGGCACATTCAAACCGAAGGTACATCTTAACTTGAGAAAAATTCTCTACATCTTTAACAATCTGTGATGAAGGTCTGTGATAAGTGACAATTTTGCTGAAGACGTCCTTTGAATCATATCCAGAAGGTCCTGAATGAGTCACTTTAGCTACTGAGTGTGCTTAGCCAACCTCTAAGCCTCTACCACACAACATAACACAACACAACACAACCCCGTTCTTTATCCATTGCTATCTCACAAATGACAACTTTCAGGAAGAGAGAAATTTTTTAGAGGGAGGTGGTTCTACAAGGAATTTCCCTGTTCAAGTTGGTAATGAAAACACAAATAAAATAAAACTGTTCAGAGGAGCGGTAATTCAGCACCACGAAACAGAAGTTCAGGAGCAATTAAAGAGTGGATATTGTGTAATTATAGAATCATTAGGGATTAAAAGAATCATTTACATTTTTGCTATTACAGAAGGAATAACTGAATTAACTGCATCAAATTCTGGTCATGTTCTATAGGACCCAGCATGAAAAAATTCTTATTAGTCTGGCTTATCATTATGGTAGGGAAAGAGCCAGAAATTTGGGTTCAAGCTCTGACATTATTTCCTGTATCAGCTTCTCTGAGACATCCATTTAATGGGAGTTGGACAATGGATACCCAAAGTCCTCTTGGACTTTAGCATTGGATGGTTCTACAATCTAATGATCTAATACATGATATGGAACAACAGGCATTCTTATAAAGTAACCATCCACACTCTAAGTTATTTATAGACTCTCATCCAGGGAATCAGGAATGAAGAAAGGAAATTCTTCCAATGGAGGGTTGAAAAGGATTAAAAATAGTTGAAGGAATTGAAAAACAGGATAAATATCTGTCAGAGAATACAGAAAGACAAGACAACAAAGAGATTAACAGGACATGAAAAATCTGGCAGGGATAGGCCCATTGTCACCATTGCTGTCACCAGAGTTATCTGTTAGTACTGAAAGTCACCCTAATAATTTTACGACACCTCTCCTTTACTCAATGCACAGATAAGTGTTGTGTAAGAGAAAGTAGCTACTTCTTTTGGCAGCATAGTCCAGTGGAACAGGTATGACAAAACCACTAAATCATGTTAGTGATTTTGACAAGACACAAACTGGACTGAGATTTTTTTTCAAACTTAGAACTACTTATAAATAGGTAATTATATTCCATAATGAGCATACTTTGTAAGTATATATAATATATTTATATCTGTAACTGATATATATTCTTAGAATATTCTGATTTTAAATTAATAATTAAGATATTTTCTAAGTACCACTAAATCAAATATTAAACAGCATAATTTAACAAATCTTCAATTATATTTTTATTCTGTTCTTTTCCTATATTCCTTTCACTTAAAATTGCCAAATATTCTAATGTTCATATTTTACTATATAACTTTCTAATAACTTGAAAAACATACATTCAGAAAGCACTCTCCTTTCTTAGCACTATCAAACAACTTCTAACCCTCTCTTTTCTTTCTTACCTCAACTCCCAGAAGAGCAGCCCAGGTTAAACCTCTCATAAGAGGAGGAATGTCAACTCTTGCTTCTTTCCAGATTTGATTTTTTTTATATGGATAAGCCTATGATATGAAGAAAGAAATTAAAAATGTCTCAAATTACCAAATACTATTTTAGTCTAAACAGTTCTGAATATAGCAGTGATAAAGATGAAATGACCTACAATAAATTTCAAAGTATCTGCAATCACTGTGTCTGGTATCATTAATAAATATAAATAAGCACTGGAATGGACTCCTAAACAGCCTGCAAAACTGGTATAACATAATCAAAAAGAGGAGCTGATTCTACATGTTTTTAATCCCTTCTCTCTATTTTGTGCTCTGGAAGGATTTTGAATTAGTAGGAAGGAGGATGATAGTACCAGCCTCATATGGGTTAAAAAAGATAACATTTGTAAAGCACTTTATTATGGCTATTTCTATATCTTACATATAATTTTTTCCTTTAGGAGCAATTTCTTAAAGAGAATTATTAGGACAAAGGATACAAATGTTGTTAAGGTTCTTGATATATATTCAAATTGCTTTACAAAATTTCTGTTTCAATATTGGTTCTTTTTCCTATTGATATTTAAGTCTTCTTTAAAAAACAAGGATATTAATCCTTCATCTAACATGATTTTCCATACATTCCCATACCTTATTCTTACTTTTTAATTTTACTTAATATGAACATGTACCATTTTTATAACTAAGGAAAGTTAATCGGGAAACATAGGTCATCAGGCTTCTCTTGACCTCAAGATTCCCTAAGGATTACCAATGAAATTAAACACATGCAGAAAAGAATTACGTATGGGCTATTGTTGCCATTTTACACTTGAGAACCCCTACCTTTAGCAGCCTGTCAAAGAGAATAATTCTGTTGAGTTGGTACTCTGTGTCCCTCTCTCTGATGATTAAAGGGAGACTGGCAGCTGCAGACAGCTCATTATTGCTGTTAGAATGAGGTAAATTAGACTGGCTGTAAAAGAAGAAAAAAAATATTGACCAATAAGTACACAATTTTAATAAACCAAAATACGATATTCTTATGCTCCATTTATGAAATGCTTTTTAAACAAAATGTATAAACTTTACAAACCTAATATTAATAGAAAAGAAAAATAAATGTAAAATGGGTCTATACTTACTCATCTTCAAGTAATGGGTAAAATGCTTCTCCACCAACATCTTTTAATCTCTATAAATTTAAAGACAAAAATAATTATGTATGAACATCTTTGGCAGCTGCACTGATCTGTATTTAAGAGGAAATGTAATATAAACATTATGTATTTACAAAGGTACCAAGAAAAGTAAAAAACAGAATCTAAAAATTAGTTCTTATCATAAACATGCAAACATCCCGTGCCTCTACTGATTAAGGTCTAGCTGTAAAGAATAGCTTTTCAGTTTTTGGTTATTTTTGCCTTTAAGTATCACTCATAAATGTTAGACACCTATCATGGTATTTTTCCAAACACAACTGAGAAATACCCTAACATCAGTATAAAGCTTAATAGATAAAATATTCTTAAGTTATATGAAGAAAGATGATTAACAAGAGGTGCCTTTTTATATATCTATTAATTAAAAGCCCAAGTCAGATTTGCTTTGGCATAATACAAACTAAGTCAAAAGGAAAGGTGCTAGGAAAAGATTCAAAAGAATTTCTCACATCATACTTTGAACATGGATGATTCAAATAGCTGATAAATCAACTGACAGAATCAACTAATTATTTTTTTCAAAAAGTCATTATGATAAATGTTGCTCCAAATAATATTGCCATGATTATAGGTATTTGTCAAAATCAAACAACCCCATCAAGAAATGGGCAACGGAAATGAACAGAAACTTCTCCAAAGAAGACAGAATAATGGCCTGCAAACATATAAAAAAATGCTCAACATCTCTAATCATTAGAGAAATGCAAATCAAAACCACAATGAGATACCACCTAACCCCAGTGAGGATGGGGGGTGGGGTGGCGGCAAGGGCCATATATGTAACCTTAACAATATTTGTATCCCCACAATGTGATGAAATAAAAAAAAATACGCAAGCAGGCAGTAGTAAAATGAAAATCTTAGCCACAACCTAGGCGGAGTGATTAAAGCTAATGCCATCTTGCCTGCTGCTCTGCTCTTCACCTTCCAACTTGAAGGCAGAGAGTTTCTGCTCCCATGGGGACTGACACAGAGTTCAAGCTCTGTGTGTATGTAGGCTGCACTGATCTTTTCTTGATTAGAGTCACTGTGCATCCATGTGAGTTATTCCCAGAATTTTAAAAGCCAAAGAAAAATCTTTTACCCAACACTGAGAATTTGGCAAACACTGGATTTATGCCTGGCTCCTCTCTAAAAACTGATGTGCTGTGTACTTATGCTATTTTGGTAAACCTTTAGGTATTTCTTTTATAGATTAAAATTTTAAGCAAAGAAAATTTTCTTAAGGTTTACCGAATCATTAATACACAAATCTTTTTAAAGTTTGGTTTTAGTATTCTCAGTGTCATAGATATTAAATAATAAATATATTTTCTACTTGTCTTTTCAAATTAAAAATTTAGCACATTAAAGATAAAAAAAAAGGTGAAAGTACTTGTGCAGAAACATTTAAGGTAAAAATTATTTAGTTTTCATATTATTTTAAGACAAAATGTTACCAAATAAGTGGAGAAATGAGAAAACTTATCCAATGATGGTATAAAGATAAACTGATAAAAATCATTTTTGTCAACAGACAATAGGTATTAAGGTTGAAGTTGTACAGATGCTATTTTCTAGCAATTCTACTCTGAGGCTCATATGTTAGAGAAGTTCTCCTATTTTTATGAAATCAGGGAGAAACACAAGGCTTCATGTATATCTGTAAGGCTTAATTTTTTTTAAAAAAAGATCTGAGGCAAATTTGGCAAAATATCATCCTTACATTTCTTAGCTGACATAATGACAATGTCACAGTGGTATCATCTAAAAGTGAGCTTCTATCTCGACCTTGTCCAAAGCTTTCACCATCTTCAAAGAGAAAACTGAAAAGAGATTTTAAAAAACAATTATAGTAAGAACACAAAATCTAACTTATTGTTTCTAGAAATAAAATTTATTCTAAATTACCAATCCCTTTATCAAAAAAGAAGTAAATTTCTGACTGGATGTTTAATAGAAAACAAATGTAATTGCTGCTTGAGATTTCTTCAAAGTCTCACTTTTAGATATCTCTTGAGTTGGTATGAGCATGGTATGTAAGTATAAAGCACTTCGGCAGTAAAAGGGTGTCATTTATAACTCTTTGTTCAGACAGGCTCAATGCTAAAATTACTCTCCTCACACTACCAAATGTTCTCATGAGAAAGTTTATATAGGTAAAAAATGATAAAGGGGAGAAGAAAGAAAAAGCACATTCTATGGTAACTTTAGAGGGGAAAGAATATTGAATAACAAATAGATGAAATTTGTTTAGAATTTCAGAGAATTACTTTTAAGAATCTACATATCCTTCAAAGCATTTCTTCCGGGAATTTCCATCATGCTATCTCTGATTTTCTACTTAACTCAATGCATGATTGGTATAATTGAAGTTAATATTTTAGAAAAAATCAGTTTGAGAAAAAAGTTGAAAACTAATGATCTATCAAAATAATCTGTAAGTTTAACAAGTGCAAAAAAAAAATGATGAGCAGATGATTTCTACAGTTACCTACAATGATCAAATTTAAGTCCTAAAATCTAAAATTAAAATACTTAAAGCACTGGTAGAAGCTCAAGAAAATCAGGTTCGTAATTTTTATGAATATATATGAATAGCAATGTTACAGTAATGACAACTTTGGCCTAGGGCTGCAGTTATTTAGCTTCTAGCCTAATTTATAGCATGGTTATCTTCTCATGCAGTTTTGTAGATTCTTTCCAACACATTAAGCATAGTGATGATCTCTAGGACATGTAGTGAGGCCACACAGTTCATTTTCATTTACAAATATATTTGGAAAAAGAACATAGTTCTTTGCATTAAAAGATAACATTATTATCTTTTTTATTAAAAGATAACATTATTAAAAACATTAAAAAATATTGATGAGAACTCTTGCAATCAGAAACTCTAGCCAATCAAATGAGGTGTTAACTTCCAATTGCTTCCATAATCACTTAGTTGGGCAAGCCACCAAAAATATTAAAACAAAACAAAACAAAAAAACAACCAAAATTTTTTTCTAATGTTATTACCAGATCTGCTTTTCATTTGCAAGAGAAGTTTTCTTTTCTTACTTTGGGAGTGTGCAGATAGGTGGCTTAGATCGAATGATTTCCTTGTTGACAAGTTCTTTCTCCAAGTCACCTCCAGCCAAACACCAAAGGTAATAAACTTCTTCAATAGATCTTTCTGCCAGGTAATCACTGTTTATATCTATTAATGGCAAATTAAAATGAATAATAGTGATTACATTTTCTGTTTTTATTAAAATTCAATAGGTAATAACAGCTGACATTCTGAGAAAAGTAAAAAACTAAAGAACAGACTTATGGTTTCTAGTTCTGACTGTAAGGAGCTTGAAGTTACTACTCCATCCTGACAAGTAAAAAGCTGAACAGACTGAAAAACCAACAATGGTTCTTGGATCCACAAGAGAGGTGAGGATATAGGGCAGACCTCTGCCCTTAAGACTGAAGGGACAGAAAGGAAAGTACAGGGGATCACAGTTCATTGAAGAGAGACCCACGAGCAGAAAAAGCCTCAGGAACCAGTGCTGGGGTCGGAAAACTTGAATTATAGTTGAAAAATTGGTGGGTACCCAGAGACAATCTGGTCCCTCACACTTTTCTACATTTTACCTCCAGGAGTCTGACAGATTCTCACAGTAAATACTGGAGAAAAATGCCCATGTGCTTCCAGCAGCAGGAGGAGGAAAAGGAACCATTTTAAAATATGCCTAGCACGGTTTTTAACAAAGCCTGCCTTCAGAAGAAACTAGTTAGTTACAGCCTAATTTTCTGGGGTATTATCACAGACTGCCTGACCTGGGGGAAGGGAAATGCCCAAGTCCAGCCAGCTGTAGCCTTCTACGTGGTGGTCAAGCATGGGGAGAGGAAGCGTCCTGCAGTCGGTCCTGTGACTGGGTCTCGATGTTTCAGCAAACCTGTGCTTCCAGACTAAGATTCTCACAGGGGCTTCCTTGCCCTCAGTGTGGAACAGGATGGCCAGAATGGGCTAGAGTTAGATATTTCCCTTCTTCTACATGGAGGTATGTCACGACTGGCAGATTCTAACTTTTGTAATGGTTTCAATGCTCCTGGCTGAAAATAATATCTTAAAGTGGCTTGTACAATAAAGACATTTATTCATCTCTCTTAATTAAATCATAGGTACAGGATTGCGATGGGACCCAAATTTGGGTCCCTCAGACCATTTCCTGCATTCAAAAGAGAAGAAAATGGTGAACCACTGTTGTAGCACCTATCTTGTCATGAAAGAAATTTTTTCCTAGAAGAAATCCTCATGTCCAAACTTCACTGGGATCCCATTAGCCAACTCTCTAGTTCACAAGCTTACTTCCTATAGCAAGGGAAGCTAGAAAAAGGAAAATATGACATTTTTACCCTTTATAGCAGAAATATAGAATTAGAACTTTTACCCTCTATTGGGAAAGGAATAAGGGCAGAAAAAAGCACTTGATTAGGCCACCAACACGCACTGTCCCATCTCTCCTGTCTCAAGGCAATGGCTTTCTCTTCTGAAAAGTCTTTCTTCATGTCCCAGACAGAATTAAGTACTCCTTCTGCTATGTTCATATTGACCTTCCTTTATAGTAGTGCTTATGGAACTAAATGTCTGCCTTCCCACTTGGCATGACTTGGAAGATGCAGTATGTGGCACATTGTAGGCATTCAATAAACATTTAACTGAAAAATGTTTAGTAAATATTTTCTGCATGACTTATGTCAGGACATCTTGCTGTTGTCGCTAAACCACATATTCTGAGAGTCGTAATCTTCACACAAGAATGAAAACCTAAAAGCTGATAGTCTCTTCAACACGCAGAATATAATGGTATGGACTTCCTATCAATGATATGATTTTTAGAGATCATTTACAAATTATATGGAATATATCAGTAACTTAAATGGTTAAAATGTTAGGTCAGTTATATTTTAATCAATTCCTGAATCAACTCTTAATTCTCAATTAATTATCCGTAAAATCTCACTTATGTGATATATATTGTTGATAAATTCACAACTGAAACTAAGATAAGAGAACTTCTTTTAAAAACAAGGCTCATAGTGACGCCTATGTTTCATTTACCATTACCTTTACACAACTGACTGATATCTTCAGGCAGAGTTAACTCAGCACACCTCAGAGAAGATGAAAACAGACCGACTGGTTTGGTAAAGGGGGTGTATAAAGGTGACACTTCACTGAACACTTTGTCCTTCATCAATTCATCTGGGGTTGGCCTTGAGAAACACATTTAAAATACAGAGCCTGAATGAAAGTCATAAAAAATTTCCTAGAATACTGGCACACATTCAAGGGTATAGTTAAAAGTCAATACCTCATTAGCATACAAAATAATTAAGATCTCCTTTGCAGAATCTAAATGTATATAAACCTTTATACAACAATCAAATGGCTGAGTAAACACTGACTTTTTCTTTACTTTTTTGTACCTTCTGCACCCCATGATCTATCAAAAAATCATTCCTTAAGAGCTTTTGCATTTATATAATACTTTTTGCCTGACAAGCACACACCTCTTTACTGAATATCTCAATTAAATAATAAATATGTAAACTAATAATACCTTTTAGGTTTTCTTCTTACCCTTTTACTTTAATGTAAGATATTCACCCAAAACTACCATTCCTCTCTTCCTAACATGTCTTGATAAAGCTGTTTTTCTAAAGACAAATTAGAATACATTATTTTCAAACATTATATACTTAAGGGTTTGGGAATAATTGTATGACAGATGGTGACAACAACAAAAGAAAGTAAATTAGTAAAACTTCTAAGAAGTCCTTTTCTATTATCAGCAATTGTTAACTTAACCTCACCATTTATCTAAGCTGATTGCTATAATATGTATCACCAAAAAACTTTTGTCCTCATTTCTCTGATATTATTGTTGGGTCTATAGTTGGAATATCTATATTCCACAGGTTTAGCTGATTTTCTGCTTGGAAGGTAGGAAATTAACTAGTAACTTCTTTTGGTATATGTCAGCTTTCTAACCACAGTTCAACTTTAGTTAATTTTTAACAAAAAATTAAAGCCTTAACTCACTCACAGTATGATACTGATGTCAATCATGTACTACTACACATATAAATATATTTAATCTATTAGTATTATAACAAATAAGAAAAAAACTAACTGCTTATATATAATGGATTTCAATGTAATCCCCAAACCATTAATAGTATCAACCTCTTAGAAGGATGGAAGGTGAGGCACTTCTTCAAAAGATCTATCACATTTTCAGGAAGCTCCTGGCAAATAAAGAGAGAAAATAATTGCCTAAAATGACCCATTTCAGAAATATATTTTACTCAAATGTTTGCTATTCTAGAATGGTTGGATTTTTTAAAAAAAGTTTTTATTTGTATTTTATGCAAATTTATATCAGTTGCTCTATGAAAAAGCAAATACCTAAAGAGAAATAAGCATAGCTTTAAAATAGCTTGCTATTGGATCCCAAGTATGCGAAATAAGCAAATTTTCATGAACAGATTACTATGGTTTGAATATGTCTCCCCCAAAATCAGGTGTTGAAACTTAAGGGCCAATGTGGTGGGACTGAGAGGTGATTTGGTCACATGGACCTTTCCCTTCCTGAATGGGAAAGGGCATTCGGGAAGGAATCAGCAGTCCCCCAGCTTGCCCTCGTGAAGACAGTGTTCCTCCCCTCAGGAGGGTGCAGCCCTCACCAGATAACCAAACCTGACGGCACCTTTATCGTGGATTTCCTGGGCTCCAGAACTATGAGGAAATACATTTTTGCATCTTATAAATTACCCAGTCTTAGGTATTTTGTTAGAGCAGCACAAAGACACAGATTAATGACAAACCTTTATAATGTCCAGACAACCATGCTCTTCAGCCAGAACAATTACAGTGTCGTCTACGCAGTCTATAAAACAGAAAAACTGTATGATAAATGCTGCTTTTCTAATCTATCAGATTAACTGGGAAACAAACTCTGATCCAAATTTGTTAAAAAGCGTGATGCAGTTTTGGAACTGGAAATACTAAAAAGCTTGTGATTTTGTTAAATTTCCTTACATGTTTTAATAAAAATAAAGACCTCACACTGAATATTAATTGAATCACAGATACTGAAAGAGCTACTTAAATGAGACAAAGCAGTTGTTCAAAGAGGTAAAGATATTCTTTCTACATGTAGAGTCATCTATTTATAGATATATCTATCAATAGGTATCTATATACATACACACACAGTTGGCCCTTGAACATCATGGGTTTGTCCTGTGTGGGTCCACTTATACGAGGATATTTTTTAACCAAACATGGATGGAAAATACAGTATTCACAATACAAAACCCGCATATACAGCCTGCCTGCTTTCTGTACAGATGGTTGCACATGGGTGACTGTGGGACGTGAGTACGCATGGATTTTGGAATATGTGGGGGTGGAGGGGTGTCCTGAAACCAATCTCCTGTGTGCACTGAGGGGCGACTATATACATGTAGTGTGTGTGTGTATAAACTTTTTAAGAAGGCTTTATTGTCTTTTCATGATTATAAGATTATTTTAATTATATACAGTTTGGAGAATGTACACAGCTTTCTATGGGAATTTAAAGTATAAGTTTAGTCTATAGACCACATTTAGGAATCTCCAAGACTCATTAATAGCTGTATTATCAATCTTTGTAATTAAATGTGGTAAATTTCATAAAAATTTATGCAATTTTACTTCTAATTCATTATTATCTAATATTTATTAATACTTTCATGTACTTATTCTTATTTGTAAAAACTCTTAGCCTGGATACTAATCTTTTACATAAAGTGCTCTATCACCCTTTTCTCTCCTTTATTACCACACATGCTTAAACTTATGCCACTTTAAAGTAGATTATACAAATTTTTATTACATGTATATAGATGCATACAAATGTTTGCATCTATATACATGAAAAAACATATAAGCCTGTTATAATGAAAAATAAACCTTTGTAAGTTGTTATACGCATTTTTTCTTAAATTTAGAAACAAAATGTATTCACTATTTCAGATCACATCTTCAATGTGCATATTGCTAATAGTTACTAAAGATTATATTTATAGTTGACAGGTAATCGACTGCGTGACACTTACCCAAAGTAAGCACAAATTTTAGTCTTTCAGAAATATCCAAGCTCTGAAATAATTTTCTTCCCTAAATAAAATGAAAAAAGAAATCCTCATTAATATTTTCATCTTTTTTCCAAAGAGGTCTTTTTTCCTCCCATAGCTCAAAACTGATTTTATCCCCATTTATCCTCCAGAGGTTTTATTGGATTTTTAAAGTGAGCTCCACTAAAAAGTATTACTGGTGAATTAGCATTTTAAAAAGTGTTACATAATATTTAACATTTAAATATTTTGTATATCTAAGGATCGTTACATGTTAGTTTGATCTCGAGCACTGTTCACTTTGAGACCCACACATACCTGGGTGTCTAGGCCAGCAGCAGCATTGTTTTATGAAAAGACCAAGATGCCTCCTGGGAAGATTCATAGTACCTTTTCATCTACCCAACTAATTCTATTTATATGTCATAATTTAGGTAGAAGAATGTTCTCCATTGAGAAATATTCCTTGACACTCCTCCTTCCTCCCACAGTAACTTCACACAGTGATCCTTCATGCTCCTATAGCACCCGCTATGTTTTTTAAAGACACACACATTATGATTGTTTCCTTATGAGTCAACCTTGGGAGGCTCTCTGGCATGGAGTCTGGAGTCAAACACTTACACTTTGAACAATTATCAGTTGAGCAAGCTGGACTCTTCCACAACCAAATAGTCATATAACTTCAGCAAACTACTGAACCACCCTAAGCTTCACTTTTCTCATCTGGAGAAAAGTGAAACTGGAATATTAACTGTACATACCCCATAGGTTATGTTGAGGGCTATATAATGCAGAAAATGCTTTGTTAATGTAGGCTATTACTATATTTCTCTCATCATCAACAAATTAAACTAATATGATCTTTTAAGTAAAGTTAGAAGGACAAGGCTTAAGAAGATAGCCTGGTCTTTACATAGAGAAAAAGAGAGATTCTTTGATTATTTTTAAATACAAAAAAATTTTAAACTCTTATCAGATCAGAACTACAGGTAAAAAGATCATTTTAAAAAGTTACTGTTCCTCTATCTCTTACATTACCACATTAATCTTCCAAAAATGCAGGTCTGATTTCATTGATATCTTCTGAAAAAAACTTTCAGTGGTCTGCCATACTATATATAACTAAATACAAACATCTAAATGTAGCCAAGTCTCCTAAGATATGGCTCTAATATATATTTTCAGTATAACTGCTTACGATTATCTACCCTGTGAGGAACACACACACACACACCCATGATGTAGTTAAACTAGATTACAATATAGATTGTACAACTAGATACAACTAGATTACAACTAGATTGCAATATATTGAACACATCCTGACTTATTCTGGCCTTACAGGCTCCGACTCAACGTTATTCCCTCTAACAGTTATCTTTTCATTGTGTCTATCAAAATTCTCTATATTGTTTGCTTTTACTTTTGAATGTTAATTTCAGGAGTTAAGGAATTCAGAATTTGAAATGATTTCCGCTCAGCATGTGGATGGCACTGCCCCGCTGTTGTCTTGCACCCATATTGCTAAAAAAGTTGAAAGTGAATGTCATTCTCATCCTTTATAGGTAATATGTTTTTTCTCTGGCAGGTTTTAAGATTTTTTTCTCTTTAACACCAATAAAGACAAGAATTTAGCAAAGGCAGCTTAGTATTTTATTTAATTTAAGAGTACAGCTTTGGAGGCAGATGGATAGAAACAAATCTGCTTGACCACTTATTTTATGCAACTTAGGTTGTTTAATTTCTCTGGACCTCAATTTCCTAAACTATAGAGATGATAATCAGACTTTGTAATCAAAGATAATAATCAAACTTTGTCAGACTATGGGAATTGATGAAGATAATAGATGTAAAGAGATTAGAAAACTGCCTACCTCTTGATCAGTGCTCAATAAAGTTACCCATCATTTCATATTGGTTACCTCCTAAAGGTTTGCCATAAGGTTTCTAGGTATTGTTATTGTCATTTGTGTTTTTATTTTTTCCATCTGAAAAAAAGTAGGTCTTTTCAAACAGATGACTTTATTTCTGATACTTCTACATGACAGATGTTAGAACATCTAGATCTATTTTCCCTGTCTTTTAAAATTTATTTGTATTTTATCTCTATTCTCAGAGAATTAATTACTCTGCTTCATCTACTTTCAGTTTGTTCAGTTTCCTATGATCCATCTATTAGGTTCTTTATTTCAGTAATTGCATATTTTTTCCTTAACTCTAACTGGTTCTTGTTCTTTTCACTACCTGTTCTTGTTTCATATTTTCTATAATTGTTCATGAATGGAATTGTTTCCTTTATTTTTTAAAGAACACACCTATTTATTTTAAAGTCCTATTAATAATAGTGTCAATTCTGTTTGTTTACTTTTCATTATAACGGTCATTCTTAAATGTGTTTCTTAGATATATACTCATCTTTTAATACAGAATTCTCCTACACATGTGTCAGACAATGGAAATTTCTGGTGGCAGAGTGGCTGTATGGAATTTCTGGTGATATGGCAAGTGCTCCCTAGCAAAATGGTTTTGGTTTGGCTTCTCATCTATTTGCTTAGAATTTCTAGTGCACCACAAGTTTCCTTTATTAGTTTGTGGTGTGTTAGTCATCTGTAACTTAGTATTTTATAGCCAGTATAAAGGTTTGATGAGGTAGCTGGAGATTTAAGCTTGTGTTGAGTCTACTATCCTTATGCTGCACTGCCCATACTTCGAGTACCACTTAAAATTTCACAAAGCCCAAAAAATAGAATTAATTTTTTCTTCTGTATTTACCTTCCAAGTTTATGGATTTTAATCAAATTATGAGCTCTTAGGTAGTGTATCCTTTTTTTTTCCTTTTTCTCTTGAGACAAAGTCTCGCTCTGTTGCCCAGGCTAGAGTGCCGTGGCGTCAGCCTAGCTAACAGCAACCTCAAACTACTGGGCTCAAGGGATCCTCCTGCCTCAGCCTCCCGAGTAGCTGGGACTACAGACACACATCTGGCTAATGTTTCTAGTTTTAGTAGAGATGGGGTCTCACTCTTGCTAGGCTGGTCTCAAACTCCTGACCTCAAGCGATCCTCCTGCCTTGGCCTCCCAGAGTGCTAGGATTACAGGCGTGAGCCACCATGCCTGGGCGATAGCATGTCTTTTTCACACTTCATTCCTTGTTATATTTGTCTTGATGCCATACACACAGCAAATACTCATCAGTATTTGCTGACTTGAATTACTCGTAAGACACCCAGATTATTACTAAAGAGTTTAGATACATGTGATGGTAATAAAAAAAGGAAAGCCATGTATGTCACATTTACATTTATATATACTTCATATTCCAATAAAATTTTTCATTTAATCTGTGATTTTAAAGAAAAATGAAATTTCCTATTGTTTCATACCACCAAAAAGTAGGCAAGTATAGTAAAGAATCAGAATCTGGTATTTTCCCTTAGAACTAAATCAATGTCATTATAAAAGCTACCATGTTATGATAATTTTAATATTATTAATAATAAAAGCTAACACTAATAGACTATTTGCTATGTAATACCTTGTATTAAGTACTTTATATACATTATTTCATTTAACTTTCCCAACTTTATAATACATTAATAGGTACCATTATTATTTATAGAAGTGGAATCCAAGTCTTGAGAAGTTAGGTTGATTATCCAAAGTCTCACAGCTAGAGTTTGCGGCAGCAGAATTCAACACAGTTCTCTCTGACTACAGAAGCTTATCTCTTAACTATTATGTTCAATTCCTTTGCTCTTGAATTAGTTCTTAAGTATGCAAAATGAAAAAAAGTCAACTTAATTTTTAGAGATGTTAAAAAAAAAATCAATGAGTTAATATTTTCACAATATTTTGAAAATCCCTTGGAAAAAAGAAAAAAATAGATGAATAATCAAAATTTCTTCCTCAAAAACCTCATAGTCCAAGTAAAGTAGACAATGTGACAAATGTCATAGCAAAAGAAGCAGAGAAGAGAGAGCATCTAATACTGGTAGGTATTTGGAAGATCAATAGATTGCTAGTTGTCCTTCCAAACCCATTCTCCTCTTTTTTCTCAATATTTAGACATCCAGCTAAACATTCTATTTCCTATCCTCCCTTGTACCTAGATGTGGCCACACGAGTAAAACTGTCAAACTAGGGAAGAGTGCAGAGATCATCTTCGTAAAGACAGTTATCCGGAACTCACCCGTCCCCTTCTAGCAAGAAAAAGTGATAAAGACAGCAAGTTTGGAGACCGGATGTTGAGAATGGTGGACCCATCCCTGACTGCCTCAGTTCTGCATGACGCTGTAGATCAGAGCTCACCCAAACCTGCTCTGGACTGCTACACGAGGAGAAGAAAAACATCTGTGCTCTTTAAGTTCCGGGATTTTTAATTTTTTTGTTTTTAAAAGCAGCTTAGTCTTTACCTTCCAAATAAAGACGGAGGATATCTGGGGAAGGTCTCATAAAGAGCCAACATTCAAATTGAGTCTTATAGGGAACATAAGAGAATAGGAGAAAAGAAGGTATTTAAGGAGAAAAGAACACCAGAAGGGAAAGAGACCATGAACATACAAAAAGTATAAACAGTAAATGTGTCAATGTAAACATTTCTAGAGATACCAAAATGATATATATTTAGTAAAGCTTAAATTTACCAAAAAATATGCAAATTAATTAACCAGGATTTTTTAAAAAGTTAAATTGAGAATTAAGCCTTTTCTTCTATCTAATCAATTTGCATAGCAAAACCTATTATTACTAAATAACATTCCTCTCAAAACGATTATTCCAATGAACACACAATTTCTATTAGTTTAATGTTTGTTTATACATACCACACAAAGCTCAAATAAAATAATTCCAAGAGACCACACATCTGATTTTGGGCCAGAAGGCAATGGTTTTTCACTTGGCACATGATCAGTGGTTTTGAAAACTCCTTGTGCAATTACCTCAGGTGCCAAGTATGATGGATACCTATAAATGATATATTAAAATAATGAATAATTACAAGGACAAGCAGCAATAGTACATTTTTACTATTACTGTGGTAAGATCTATGTGAAAGTTCCATGCAATTAAATTAACCACTGTTGCTAGGAAGAATTGTAAACTAATCATTACAACAGAGAGGCCTCTAGGAATCCAGAGTAAATATACATGAGTCTAAAATAGTTTTAAAACCGCCATGTCTGTCTGCAGCGTTAGTTCCTTTCTCTGCTTTCCTATTTCTGACATGTCTTTCTTGCAGTCCTCTAGGTTTCCAGGTGTTTCTCCTTGCTCCTTACTGCCTATCTTCTCTTAATACTAAATTATTATTTAAAGTACATTTTATCTTTAAAAACAATATTTATTATTTTGAATAGTAGGAATGTCAAAGTTATAAAGAGATATAAATTGAAAAGACTCCCTCCTATCTCTGCACCCGTTACCCATACATATTTACGTATATATAAACTTGTCCACCCATTACCTCGGCCCCACATGGTAGAATGCTATTATATACACTGGTATATACCTTTTTTTTCCACTTAAAGTATATTTTAGAGATCATTCTTTAAAAAACTAAATATAGAGTTTCTGCATTCTTTTTCAAAACTGCCAATAATTTCATTGTATTGATACATTTAATTTATTTGGCCAAACTCTGATGATAAAGGACATTTTGGAAGTTCTATTCTTTTGCTATTACAAATAATAATAAAATGAATACATTACAAAGATGCCATTTCTCACAAATAAATGTGGGGATGACAGATAAATTCTAAGACGTGGCACTGTAGGGTTGTATGTATGGTTTGTGCATTTGAAATTTGATACATCACACCAACTTGCCTGCTGGAGAGGCTGTATCAATTACATCCCCAAAAGCAATGTTTGAAGGTGCTTCTTTCCTCACACTCTCACCAGTGTAAGTTCTTTAAAAACTTGTTTTAGCAAATATTGAATAAATATAAAAGACAGCCTATTAAATATCAGTAAGGTATAAACAATAGAGCTTCAATGAACACTCATGTACCAAGAAGCAGTTTAAGTAAAAAACATCATATTATGACTAAAAGTCCCTTTCTGTTTCTCTCTGATTCTATTTCTATCCCACAAAAGTAAAAGACATCTGGAATTTTTGTGTTTATCATTCCCTTCCATTTCTTTACAGTTTTACCATATGCTCATATATCTAAAAAATATATTGTTTAGTCAAGCATATTTCTGAACTTTATAATATAGGAATAAGGCTGACGATATTTTGCTTTTTCAATCAAGATTATTTATTTGAAAATGCTGTCTATATTGTTGCATGGAGCTGTATGCGATTAATTTTTACTTCTATTTTATGAATGTCATAATTTATCCATTTGGATGTCAGTAGCATTTAAGTTGTTTTTTGTTTATTTATTATGATAAACAACACTGAACACTATGTATGTAAAAGTTTCCCAAGAGTAACAACCTAGAATTGAATGTGTAGGCCATAGAATATGTGCCCTTTCAACCTTATTACATTCTGCCAAATGCTTTTCAAAAGGAGTTATACCAATTTATATGCCATCAGCAGTGTATGACAGTTCCCATTGCTTACTTCTTCGTCAACACTTCATATTTGACAGATCTTTTAATCTGATGATCTGGTGGGTGAAATCTGTATGTCATTGTGGTTTTAATCTGCATTTCCCTGAAAATTAATGCAACGGAGGTAGATATTCATGTCTGTTAGTCATTTTGGTTTACCATTGTGTGATGTGTCTGCTTTTGCTCATTTCTCTAGTTGTGTTGGATTTCCCAAGACCAACCCCATGTTTAGAGATTAACTGGAAGGACTCACGGGACTTAGCATAGGTGTACACATGGCTAAGATGTATTACAGTGACAAAGTAAGGATACACAGTTGGATCACATGGGAAAAAAGACACACAGGGAGTACTAAGGAACCTACATACAGGTTTCCTTCTGCTCTCTCCATCCTGTCAGGATCACACAGAACACATACTTCCCCCGCAACAAAAACGTAGCAACATAGATGTGATGCTTCTGGCCAGGGAAGTCCATTAAAAACTCACTGCCCAAGGTTTTTTCTAGGGACTGGTCACCGAGGCACTCTGCCTGGCATGCATGAAAATTTAAGACCTCAAGAAGAAAAGCAAACATTCAACATAAACAACACCGTTCATGCAAACAGGCACAGCAAACCAGTCTCTGCAGTTAGGGATCCACAGGAACATTTCTGAAATCCAAGTTCCCAGGTGCTAGCCAAGTGCAAACCTTGCAAGCAGGACTTAGTTTCTAAGGATAGCAGTCTCAGTCCTTCTGTGTTAACCTTTTACTGCACAGTTTTTCTTTTTCTTTTTGTTTTTAAAGAGTTTGTAATTCCAGGCACTAATTCCTTTTTCAGTAATTGTGACTTGAAATACCTTCTGCTACTTTGTGGTTCTGTCTTTTCATTCTCTTTACCATATCTGTTCATGAAAGAGAAGTTCATAATCTTTCAAATGAATTTTTTCCCTTATACTTAGTGATTTTGTCAAAATGATGCTGTTTTCTTGAAGTTTGATAATTTAGCCTTTTATAAGTTTTTTGATCCATCTAGAATTGATGTTTCATGTGACGTGAGATAAAAGTACGATTTTCTCTTCTTTCCTACATGGATAATTAATTGAGCCCTATTCTATTTATTGAAACACTTTTCTCCCCCAGCTAGTTTGCAGAGCTAGCTCTACCATGAATAAAAGCTCCACATATATGTAGATTTGTTTCTTGGCTCCCTCTTTTGTTCCACTGGTCAATTTGTCTATTGCTATACTGTCACACTATTTTAAATATTATTCTATTAAATATATTTTATGTAAATAAACATGGATAACTGCTCAGACAAGCCCTAAATCCATACCTTTTAATTTCTCTTCAGGAGTGTCAAGGCTTTTTAAAGATGTTTGTTCTTCCTTATACACATTTTAGAACTATTTTGACAAGTTCTCTTTCTTTCGCACACACAGTGGAATTTTTATTGAAAACAGATCAGGTTAGGGAGAACGAGCATCTTTCCGATACTGACCCTAACAACCTACAAACATGGTATCTCCATATTTATTAGGTCTTCTATGTCTCTCAAAAAAGATTTATATTAATATTTTTCTGTATAAGGGAAATGAACATACATGATTAGATTCTATAAGGTACTCATTTGCCTGTTCTATATCTTATGTGATAGACTATACATAATATATGATGCTATACATTTTTATGTTTCATATGCTATATGTTTCACAGACAAAAATTTAACTGCCCATCTAAATAAAAAAACTCTTTGAGGGCACTAGTGCATCTTATTCATTTTTATAAACCTTCTGCAACTACCAACAAAATTTAAATATAGGATCTAGTTTTGCTAAAAAAAAAAGAAAGAAAGAAAAAAAAAAGAAAGAAAGAAAAAAAAAAGATCATTTCTTATCAAAATGCCAGTTAGGACTACTTTATAAACAAAAATTTAAAAGTACACTGTAAATAAGAATTAGACATACTGGCAATTGCTAAATGTGAATCTTACTGCCTCAAGATAAAATAAATAAAAACAGTTTTAGAAGATAAATGAAAAATGAGGGGAATTTTACCTTACTTATTATATATGTACATGCCCTTTCTTCCTTTACTGTCAGATTTAGTCATGGGCACCACAATCTGAATTTTTAAATTCAATTAGATTAAATTATACCATCCTGCAATAATGACTGTAACTGAAATGTATTTAAGTATGTGCAACATCTGTGTAATATATGTAAAGCAGGGACTCCAATATTACTCTGTTTCTCTTCCTATCTTTTTCTACAGCCAGCTGCTTGCACTATCATTGCTAGGACTTCTTATTTACGTGTAAATACAAGTCAATTTAGTTAGGAAATATAACAGAGTCAAGTGAGTAAATTGGTTTTTAACTTCCTTTTCACTTAAATAGCATGATGGCAGTGAGATCAATATTTTGTTTTAATTTGCTCATGTATTTGTCTCATACAAAAATTTACCTTATGTTATTTTACCCTAAGATGATCATACTGGTCTTCTCAATGAATATGTGAAATCTCTAGAGACATCTGAAGTCTAGTGAAAGCAGCACTGGACTTGACGGTATAATACTTGTGTTCTAATTTCAGTCCTGCCAAATATTCTACATGTGATTTAGGTTTCTTCATCTGCAAAATAGCAATAATAATGCCTAACTCACAAAACTGTTATAAATATTAGTGAATACATAGCGATGTTTTATAAAAATGAAAAATGTACACAAGTGCAATGTTGTACTTTTAGCATTGCCACAATTTATCTAGAAGGCAAACTATTTTTATTCCTGTTTCCAGTACATCTAACCTTAAAATGATAATGAAAAGTCAAGCAAAACTATAGGTAGATTGTTATATCAAAAACTTCTGAAAGAAGCACAGAGGTAACCTTTACTCTAAAAATTTTAGTTCCCTTTAATCAAAGACAAAAATTAATAAAAAGAATTGTTCTTTAATGCAGGTCATCTTTCAATAACCTTCACTTCCTTGGCGTAGCATTTTAACACTCACTTACCAGAACTTGCTGTGAGTATGACTGATGGGGTAAACACAAGTGGCTTTCATCATCTGTTTGATGTTTTAACAAGGTATTAAGCTACTGGCCAACTGAAATGAATGCCCAATTTCGAACTCTTTACAATATTTTAAAACAGATGGTAACATTTTACTTTGTTGTTCCTTAATATTTGTCTTTTGTATCAATCGTAAGCTTCTTCTGGTATAAATATTTTCTTTCATGCCTTAGCTGTTTGATCACTTTATTTTTCCTGGCTAATGTTTCACATTTTGCTCTTTGATATTTTCTGGTAAGCCTCTTTGAGTAGAAGACTTCAAAGCAAGCCAGACCAAATGGTAACACTAGACCAATTCTATCCAAGCTTTTAAAATTCAAGTGTAGTTCTTCAAAATGCTTGATATGCTTTAAGAAAAATTACCTCTTTTCTTCTATTATAATATTTAAAGCACTTTTAAATAAAAGTCAAAAACTTTAATTTGTTTGTATTAATTTTTGGAGTTCTTTCTTACACAAATTGATTTACAAAAAAGGAAGAAGCAACAGAAATCACATTTACTACAGTTACTTAAAAGTCACTTGAATAGGCAATTATTATATGTGACAGAGAAGCTAAAGCCTGACTAAAAACTTACTATGTTCAAAAGACATTTTATGAACAAATAAGAAATTATAAACTATCTTTACAAAATATCATTTCCATGCTTATGAAGAAGATTGTTGCTTATAAGCTGGAACTTACAGAAAACTGTAAGATTATGAATGCATGTACCTGAATAAGTAGGTGATCAAAACAGAAAATTCTCCCACTACATAGTGAGCTTCTTGAGGACAGGAACCTATCCTATTTTTGTACATCCAACAGGAAGAAGAGAAAGTGCTCACTAAATGTTTCCTTGCTGAATGAAGCCTAGTATTATTAGCTGTCTTAACTAATAAAAATTTTGGATAAGAAACCTATAATTTAAGTTATAATGATAAAAGGGCCATTTATATATGAGGCTTTTTTTTTAAACATCTAATTACACCTTTAAGCAATGTTATGATTCAAAAACGCACTCCATGTCCCCATATCACAATTCTCAGTAATGGTATGATAGAACTGATTTTAGGAAGCCCAAAGAGCAAAACACAAATGGATACTATCAAAAACTAACACAATACAATTTAAAATATATAATTAAGGTCTCTAGGTTAGAAAATAACATTGTATCAAGTTTAGTTGACTTGTTTCAAAAATTGTTCTGAGGTTATCTAAGAAAACTATATCAGGGAATACAAACTGAAGCATTTAGGAGTAAAGGACCAGTATCGTGCATTAATTACTCTTAAAAGATTCCAAAAATAAGTATTATACAAATCCAACATACATGTCAGAGAAAAAAGAGAGAAAGCAAATATAGAGAAATACTAACATCTGGAGAATCTGATAAGGAACATACAGAAATCCTTTGTATTATTTTTATAACTAAGATAGTATCTAGAACAATGTCAATTTAGATAATCAAAAAAGAAAAGAATTATATTATGAAAATGTTTAAAAACAATCACAATAACTATAATGCAAAAATCTATATCAAAATATCTACTTGAGTATGGCAAGAAATAAACTTCCATTTCTTCCTTGGGGGGCAACATACATCTGAAATTCCATATCAGAAATGACTAAATAAACTTCTTTGAACTTAAACATAGATTTCCAAGTATGGAATTTATCCCATTACCTCTAATACCCACAATGACTCAATTTGAATCTTAATATACAATCAGATCTTAGAGAAAAGAGAAACATAAAACATTAAATTGAAAATAATGTAAGAGTAATATTATCAGTCTTGTGATGCACATACATTATCATTAGAGAATCTGGTCAGTCTTCTTGCCTTAAACTCATTTAATTCTGAATGAAATACAAATAATTAGGAAGTATTATAAGGTAAAGAACATAAATAATCTGTTATCCTCTTTGTCAATTCAATGAATAATCACCACCAGGGATCTTTAGGATGCTACAGAAAAACTGTCCACTCTAAAAAAGTATATGGAAAATTAAGATGTATTAATAAAAAACCTTTTTTCATGTCAAAAAGCATGATCAAAGTTATTACTAACAAAATATACATGTTATCAAAGATTGTAAAGTTTAACACAGAACTCAAGACAGAAGAAAGCATATCCTTACCCTATAGGGAAATCAACATCATCACCATGAGCTGTCATGTGATAAAGTCCAAATTTAGCCAATTTAATATGTCCCTACAATAATAAAGAAGAAAAATCACCATGAAATATTTTAGTATAACTGGAGTGAAAAATCATCATTATATATAAGGAAGGCAACCATTATATAACACTGTTTTATTAAAATATTTTTGATATTAATAAGCACTATTAAAATTTTATAAAATAACATTAAATTTAGTCATAACTATCTACCAATATTGTCTGCTTCATACTTATTATATGTACACATATATGTGTGCATATATGCATATCCATATATGTATGCATATACATACATATCACATACATTTCAGAATGACAAATCACATTTTTCTTAAAAATTTTTGCCGTTTCTGTTATGTAGTAGGCTTTTTGACCAAGCAAAAAAGGCAAATGTTCTCATTTGTCTTGAATCCATGGTTAGAATGTTTTGTGGTAATTTCACAGAAGAATTTTTTTTCAGGGAGTTGCAAGTCCATTCATAATGTTATAATTTAACTGTGATGAGAATTCTTAAAAAGAAGGGTCCAAAATCATCAAGACTTTGGTGAATCCTCTAGATTTCCAGTAAATTTTTATATTGTTTGAAAACAACAATTTTCATAAGTATGAAGTTCTTGTCTTTTAATTTTAATAGATTTAGAGAACACAAGTATTTTGATACATGTATCAATTGTATCATGCTGAAGTCAAGACTTTCAACATATTCATCCCCAGAATAGTGTACATTGTACCTGATAGGTAAGTTTTAATCCCTCACCTGCCTCCCACCCTCTGCCCTTCTTAGTTTTCAATGTCCATTACACCACTTTATGACCATATATATCTCTCATTTAGCAGCCACTTGTAAGTGAGAACATGTGTTATCTGGTTTTCCATTCCTGAGATACTTCACTTAGGATAATAGTCTCCAGTTCCATCCAAGTTGTTGCAAAAGACATTATTTTATTCCTTTTTATGACCGAATAGTACTTCATGGTGTGTATGTATGTATGTGTATATATATGTATACATGTGTATACACACACGCACACACAAACACACACATTTTTCTTCATCTACTCATCAGTTGATGGGCAGGTAGGTTGATCCAACAGCTTTGCAATTGTGAATTATGCTCAACAAACTTTTAGGGCAGGTGTCTTTTTGATAACATGACTTCTTTTCCTTTGGGTAGATTAGATACCCAGTAGTTGGATTGCTAAATGGTAGGTCTACTTTTAGTTCTTTGAGGAATCTCTATGCTGTTTTCCATGGAAGTTGTACTAGTTTATATTCCCACTGTGTACAAGTGTTCCCTTTCACTACATCCATGGCAAAATCTATTGGTTTTTGACTTAATGGCGATTCTGACAGGGATAAGGTGGTATCTCATTGTGGTTTTAATTTGCATTTCCCTGATGATTAGTGATGTTGGGCATATTTTCCATGTTTTTTTGCCATTTGTATATATTCTTTTGAGAAGAGTCTATTCACGTCTTTTGCCCATGTTTTGACTGAGTAGTTACCTTGCTCATTGGTTTGAGTTCTTGTAGACTGTGGACTTTGTAGACCATTAGCTTGTTTTTGGACTTACAGTTCACAAATATTTTGTTCCATCTGTAGGTTGTCTATTTACTCTGTTGAGTCCCATTTATTTATTTTTGTAGTTGCTGTACTTGCTTTTGGGGTCTTAGTCATACCTTCTTCACCTAGCCCAATGACCAGAAGAGTTTTTCCTACATTTTCTTCTAGAATTTTTATGGTGGCAGATTTTACATTTAAGTCTTAACCAATCTTGAGTTAGTTTTTGTATATGGCGAGAGAAAGGGATCTAGTTTCACTCTCCTATGTATGGCTATCCAGTTTTGCCAGCACCATTTATTGAATAGGGGACTTCCTTTCCCCAGTGCATATTTTTGTCTGCTTTGTCAAAAATCAGTTGGTTGTAACTACATGGCTTTATTTCTGGGTTCTATATTATGTTCTATTGGTATGTGTATTTACCTTTATACCAATACCATGCTATTTCGGTTACTATAGCCTTGTAACATAATTTAAAGTCAGGTAATTGTCAAGATTTGTTCTGTTTGCTTTAGATTGCTTTGCCTGTTCAGGTTCTTCTTTGCTTCCATATAAAGTTTAAGATTGTTTTTTCTAGATCTATGAAAAATGATGCTAGTATTTTGATGGGAATTGCACTGAATCTGTAAATAAACCACTTTGGGCAATATGGACATTTTAACAATGTTGATTCTTCCAATCCATGAACACAGGATATTTTTCCACCTGTTTGTATTATCTATGATTTCTTTCATCAGTGTTTTGTAGTTCTTGTAGAGGGCATTTTATTTCTTTCCAGCTACTGTAAATGGTATTGAGGCCTTGATTTGGCTCTCAGCTTGACTGTTATTAGTATACAGAAATGGTACTGATTTGTGTACATTGATTTTTTTAACCTAAGACTTTGCTGAATTCATTTATCAATTCTAGGAGTCTTTTGGCAGAGTGTTTAGGGTTTTCTAGATACAAGATCATATTGTCAGTAAACAGGGATAGTTTGACCTCTTCTTTCCTGATTTTTATTCCCTTTATTTCTTTCTTTTGCTAGATTGCTCTGGCTAGGACTCCCAGCATTACGTTGAATGTAAATGGTGACAGTGGGCATCCTTATCTTGTTCTAGGTCTTATGAGGAATGTTTTCAACTTTTCCCCATTCAGTATGATGTTGGCTGTGGATTCATCATAAAAGGCCTTTATTTTGAAGTGTGCTCATTCTATGCCTAGTTTATTGAGGGTATTTATTTATCATGAAGGGAGAGTGCTGAATTTTGCCCAGTGCTTTTTCTTCTTCTGAGATTATCATGTGGTTTTTGTTTTACATTCTTTATTTGGTCAATCACATTTATTGATTTGCATATGCTGAACCATCTTTGCATCAATGGGATGAAACTCACTTGACCATGGTAAATTATCTTTTGATGTGTTACTGAATTTGGTTTGCTAGTATTTTGTTGATGAGTTTTGCATCTGTGTTCTTAAGGGATATTGGTCTGTGGTTTTCTTTTTGTGCATCCTTTCCTAGCTTTGGTATGAGGGAGATACTTTGTAGAATGAGTTAGGGAAGATTTCCTCCTTCTTGATGTTATGGAATAGTCTCAGCAGCATAGGTGTCACTTCTTCTTTGTAGGTCTGGTATAATTCAGCTGTGAATCCATCTGGGTCAGGGACTTTTTTTGTTAGATTTTTTATTATTGTTTCAATCTCGCTACTTGTTATTGGTTTACCTGGGATATCTATTTCTTCCTAATTCAAGTTTAGACAGTTGTGTGTTTCCAAAAATGTATCCATTTTCCCTAGATGTGTGTGTGTAGAGGTTTTCATAGTAATCATGGTTGACATTTTGTATTTCTGTGGTATCAACTGTAGTGTCTCCTTTTTGATTTCTGATTGAGCTTATTTGAATCCTTTCTCTTCTATTTCTTGTTAAAAAGAATCGATAGACCACCTGCTGCTTTGTCTTTTCAAAGAACCAAGTTTTTGTTCTGTTGATTCTTTGTATTGCCTTTTTGGTTTCCACTTTGTTTCTTTCTGTTCTGATCTTTGTTTCTTTTCTTCTGCTAGCTTTTCGGTTTGGTCTGTTCTTTTTCTAGTACCTTCAAGTGTGGCAATAGGTTGTTAATTGTTGTCTTTCTATATTATTGATGTAGGCATTTAAGGGTATGAAATTTTAGCACTGGTTTTGCTGTATCCTAGAGATTTTTGGAAGCTTGTTTCATCTTTGTCATTCAATTTGAAAAATTTTCTGATTTCCATCTTGATTTCATCATTGACCCAAGGATAGTTCAGCAGCAGGTTCTTTAATTTCCATGAATTTGTGTAGTTTTGAGAGTTCCTCTTGGAATTGATTTCTAGTTTTATTCCACTGGTCTGAGAAGATACACTATGATTTTGGTGTTTCTGAATGGACTTGTTTTGTGGCCTAATATATGATCTATCTTGGAAAATGTCCCATGTATTGCTGAGAACAATGTATATTCCACAGTTGTTAGGCAGAATATTCTGTAAATGTCTGTTAGGTTCATTTCTTCTAGAGTTCCATTTAAGTTCAGTGTTTCTTTCTCAATTTTCTGCTTTGATGATCTATCCAGTTCTAACTGTGGAGTTTTGAAGTCCCCAGTTCTTATGATATTTCTGTTTATTTCCTTCCTTAGATCTAGTAGAATTTGTTTTATGAATCTGGGAACTCCTTTATTAGGTGTATATATATTTAGGACTGCTATATCTTCTTGTTGAATTGCTCCTTTTATCATTATATAATCACTTTTTTTTTAACCATTGTTGATATGAGGTTAGCTACTTCTGCTTGCTCTTGGTTTCTATTTATGTGAAATATTTTTTTCCAATCCTTTACATTGAGTCTATGAGAATCTCTGCGAGTTAAATGGGTTGCTTGGAGACAGCACACATTTGGGGTTTTAAAAAAATTAATTTGGCCGGGCGCTGTGGCTCACGCCTGTAATCCTAGCTCTTGGGAGGCCGAGGCGGGCGGATTGCTCAAGGTCAGGAGTTCAAAACCAGCCTGAGCAAGAGCGAGACCCCGTCTCTACTATAAATAGAAAGAAATTAATTGGCCAACTGATATATATATAAAAAATTAGCCGGGCATGGTGGCGCATGCCTGTAGTCCCAGCTACCCGGGAGGCTGAGGCAGAAGGATCACTCAAGCCCAGGAGTTTGAGGTTGCTGTGAGCTAGGACGCCATGGCACTCACTCTAGCCTGGGCAACAAAGCGAGACTCTGTCTCAAAAAAAAAAAAAAAAAAAAAATTAATTTATTTTTATTTTTGGGGGGAGGGGGATAGAGTCTCACTCTGTTGCCCAAGTGAGTGCCATGGTATCAGCCTAGCTCACAGCAACCTCAAACTCCTGGGCTCAAGTGATCCTCCTGCCTCAACCTCCTGAGCAGCTGGGACTACAGGCATGCACCACCATGCCTGGCTAATTTTTTCTATTTTTAGTAGAGATGGGGTCTCACTCTTGCTCAAGCTGGTTTTGAACTCCTGAGCTCAAGCTACCCTTTGTTTTTTGGTTTTTTTGTAAATGCATTCAGGCAATCCATAACTTTTAAGTGGGCATTAAGAACATTTTATTCAATTGTAGTACTAAAATTAGAGATAATGTTCTGGTCTATCAAGTTGATTGTCACCCAGTTGCTTTTTTTTCTCCCTTGTGTTACTGGTTTATAAGAGCTGTGAGTTTAACTTGCAGGTGTTTACACACTGGTGGATATTGATTGTTCATTTCACTTATGGAACACATCTAAGTATTTCTTGAGGTCAGGTCTATTAGTGATAAATTCCCTGAGTGTTTGCTTGTCTCAGAAAGACTATTTCTCCTTCATTTATGAAACTTAGTTTTGAAGCATACAAAACTCTTGACTGACAGTCATTCTGTTAAGAAGACTAAAAGTGGGATCCCAATCACATTTGGCTTGCAAAGTTTCTGCTGAGAAGTCTGCCATTAGTCTGATGGGTTTTCCTTTGTAATTACTTGATGCCTTCATCTCACAGCTTGTAGAATTTTCTCCTTCACTTCATCTTTGGCCAGACTGATGAATATGTGCCTTGGTGATGTCCTATTTGCCATGAATCTTCCAGGTGTGATGATCTTCTTGTATTTAGATGTCTAAATCTCTAGTAATACCAGAGAAGTTTTCCTCAATTATTCCCTCAATTAGGTTTTCCATGCTTTTTGCTTTTTCTTCTCCCTGAGGGATACCTATGGTTCTTATATTCATTCACTTAATGCCATATTTCTTGGAGAGACTATTATTCTTGATTTTTTTTCTACATTTTTGACTGGGTGAATTAGAAAGCCTTGTCTTTGAGCTCTAAAATTCTTTCTTCTTCTTGGTCTAGTCTTTTATTAGTTTCTACTATACTTTCGAATTCCCTAAATTACTCTTTCATTTCTAGATGTTCTGTCATATCTTTTCTTATATTATCTATAACTTTGATGAATTTTTCATTCGTGTCCTGAATTGTTTTTTGAGTTTCCTTGTGCTAGTTTCCAACTTTCTCATCAATCCCATTGCTCTTACTTGCCATCCATATTTTAAATTCCACATCTGACATTTCAACAATTTCCTTTTGATTGGAGTCCATTGCTGGAGACCTATTTGGTCCTTTGGGGATGTCAAAACAGCCTGTTTCTTCATGTTGCCAGAGTTCTTATGCTGGTTCCTTTTCATCTGAAACTTCTTCTCTCATCTCCAGACAGATAGCTTTGTGATAAACCTGTTCGCTTCCCTAGGAACTCTGTTGCTCAGTGAAGAGAAAGAGATGTACCTCAAGATACACTTGAGTCCTACTCCAGAAGACTGACCATGCAGCAGAGTGGTGGATGTACTGTAAACCTTTAACACTGCTGTTTTTCTGCATCTCCCCATTCCTCTGAGGCTGTCATGGGCAGCGGGCACACGTGTGCAGTGTAAGCGTTCTCCCTGCCGAGGGCTGATCCTGGCAGCATTTGCCAGTATGCAGTGATGGGTATACGGAGCATGGGGGTGTGAGTGTTCACCCCACTCAGCTTACAGGCATCTGGGGCCATGGCTGTACTCTCTCTCTGGGCCCTGCACCAGGTGTGGCTGGGTATGGCTGCCTAGGAGGCAGCAGTAGGTGCCAAATCCATGGGCGCTTGCTATGTCCAGGTCCCTGGTGGTGTTGGGGGTGTCCGGCACCCACCTAGCATCCCTGCTTCCTTCCTGGCCCAGCAAGGGTGATGAGGAGGCAGCAGCAATGTATTTGACTCGTGGGCAGATGTAGCACTTCTCGGGCTGAGACCTCAAAATGGCATGAGGTATAGTACCCTAGGTTTGTAAGTCAGCTGTAGCCTGTCCCTTCTATCTGCAGTAATGCTGCTACAGTCTCCAGTCAGCTCCCTGTGTCAGTCAGTGGCCTGCTTTGGGCCAGGGACCTTCCCAGAGCTTCAACTGCAATGTCCCTGGAAAAAGCATGGAGCCCCAGGTTGTCTCCTCTGTCCCTTCCCCACATGTGGGTGCCTTCTCCATGCACCTCAGATTCTGTTGCATGGGTTGCCCCGCTTTCTTCTCCTTCACTTTTGGTGCCTCCCATCACCTCTCTGTTGTCTAATTCTCTATCTTAGACAACTGATCTGAGTGTGCATATCTACTGACCACTTTTGATCCTCTGCATGAGGGAAGGGAGTGCAGGCTGCTTCCAATCTGCCAGACTGGTCCCTCTCCCCAAAGTATGAAGTTCTTAATAAAAAGCAAATATAAATTTTATGCCTTAAGTTCTTGTCTTTTAGATGTTTAGGGCTTTAAAAAGATTAAATTGATTTTTATATTGGCTTATCTTCTGCTCAATACCTTTATTTCCCAGTATTACAAAACATTTGTATTTGAGCACCATAGTGGGTGCAGGGAGGGAATACCTCTAACCCTTCGTAGGGAAAGGCAAAGATATACAATGTAACCCAAAGGTCAAAATAAGAAAAAAAAAAAACAACTTTTATCGGGTGGTGGGCAGATGGGAGTGGGGAGGAAGGGAAGGATATATACTTACAAAATAGGTGCAATGTGCACCACCTGGGGGTAGGACACACTTGATGTTTTGGTTAGGCGGGGGGCAGGGGGAGGAATGGCAGGAGCAATATATGTAACCCTAATAATTTTTGTACCCCAATAATGTGATAAAAGGAAAAAAAAAAGAAATAAACAGGAAAAAAATTGAAAAAAGAATTTATATTTAAAAAAATAGTTTAGATTGGTTATGGCAATGATTCTTTACTGTCATAAATCTGAAATAATGAGCACCATTTTTTCTTTTGTGATTTTTTAACATCATAGGGTAACTGTACTGAACTGAAAAGAATCAGACAAGGATAATCCTACTAATATAGAAAATACATGCCCAAGAAGAAATCTCCCCAAAGCTGTTTTTATATGTGTATGCAAAATAATGAAATTATGATTATTTCTGAAAATATATCACCTTGCTATCCATAATTCTCTTAGAAGGGTTTACTAGTTTATTAATCCTCATAAGATTTCCAAACAGAAAAGAAGCACTCTAATAGAAAAGGGAGCTAGGTATGAACAGACGATAATTAAGAAGATAAATGGACAAGGTAAGAAGAAAGAAGAAAAAGAGGAGAAAACACAGTGCAGTTGCACTTATGAGACTACCATTCTATTTAAACAGAGCAGCTGTCTTAAAATGTAAGAAAATTCAGAGAAACGGTAGGCTAGAAAGCCATAGTGTATATCCTTTAGAGCCTTAGAAAAAAGGAGTGAAGGAATAAAACAAAACAGAAAATGAATCTCAGGGGAAAAATAATCCATGTGAAAGATATATAGATTCCAATAATTTAAAGACTGTTGGATTATCAAGAAACATAATTATATCACTTTCATAGTCTTTTAAATTAAGAATATTCTTAAAACATATTCTATGTTTCTTCTGATTGAGTAGGACATTATTACATTATTTGACGATTACCTTTTGGTCCAACAAGATATTATGAAGAGACAGTGCCCGGTGTACTATACCATGTTTGTTCATATACTGCAAGCCTTGAAGTACCTCAAATGCTATGCACAAAACTTTTGAATAGCTACAAAGAAAACAAAAAGTAAAAGATCAATTGCAAAGCAGATATAGAACGTGTTTTAAAGAGTAAAACATTCAAAACATTCGAAGACATATTTTTATTGTTCTTCAGAGAAAATAGAATCTGGACATTGTCTAAAATATCCACTTATACATATTTTAGATTTTCTGATTATAACACAATTGATCTGACAAAGATCCTACAGTTTTCTAAAGGCTACTCTAATAGTGTATTTGTTCTTTCCAAGAAAGGACTTTAATTTTGGTGGTGTGTTTTATTTATTAATATAGTAAAGTACAAATGACCTATGGTAGATTTGGCTTTGCCAAATTATCAGGAAAGTATCAGACATACAGGAGAACTAAGTCAATGAAAATCATCTATTATGCTCAATACAAAATACAGAAGCCCCTGAAAAATAGCTACAATATATTTTATAATATGTAGACATTAGCTTGTTTTTTCTATCAGTCATAAAGCAACCTCTGGCAATTTATTTAAATATTCCTCTTTAGTTCTCACCCTGTCCTCTCTAAGCCATCCTCCACACACCTGATTCTTTTCTCTTTTTCCCTTCTCTCTCTCACCATCTAATTTTTTAAAATCAAAAGTCATTGTTGTAGGAAGTTAGAAATAACATACAGAAAAGTATGAGAAATTAATTCAAACCCAAACCCTTCAAACCACCAATATTAATATTTTGGTATAGATTTATTTTCTATTTTATTTTTAAAAACTGAATTAATCAGTAAATTCAGGTAACCACTAAAAGTAATTTTTAAAAGAGCTATAAACAACAAACCAAATAATAGGGATAATATCATAAAAAAATGACAGAATAGAAAACAATTAGTGGATTTTTAACCCAGATGTATGAACAATTTTATTAAGTGTAAATGGCCTAAATTCACCAATTAAAAGATAAGGATTTTCAGATTTGATAAAAATTAAAACAACTATATTCAGTCTATGAGGGTCTCACATTAAATAAAAAACAGGTTAAAAGTAAAAGGATGGAATACTATTAATAGATTGTCATGGGCTTGGGTAGGGGATGGGGGTGGATTATAAGAGTATGAGAAAATGTTATGGGGTGATGAAACTTTTATTTTTGATTTTGATGATGGTTACATGCCTTTGTTTATCAAACTCATTAAACTGTATACTAAAAAGGGTACCTTTTAAGGTATGTACATTATACCTCAATAAATCTGACTTTAAAAAATGAGTCGAATATAATTTTTAAAAAAAATAATTATTGCAACCTGACTCCCTCCCTTAACTTGAAGCCATTAGAAATAATCATAAATAAAAGCTAAAATCTCCCTATTCCCTCTCCTGCTAGTCTGACTTATCAGACATAATTATCCTTAGCAGTTTTTGTTTTCAATTCTTCTTGTGGTTATTAGACTTTTATTTTATTAGTCTTATCATTAACTCTTCAACATGCAAGATGTTACAGTTAACTTATTTTTACAACTTTTCCATTTTTCTTCCCAAACTTATTTTATTAGTTATAATATTTTTACATATCAAAATTTTGTAAGTTAGATAAAAGAAACCTACACTCCTTTCTTGAAGGCCAAACAAACAAGTAAATAGATAATATGACATATAGTGATTAAGTGCCAATGAAAAAAATTCAGCAGGGAAGATATACAGTGTGATTATGGAAGGCTTCACTGAGAAGATGACATTTACGTAGAAATCTAAAGAAAGTGAGAAAGGTATGCAGCTCTCTGAGAAATGTATGATTCAGGCAGAAGGCACAGCAAGCAAGTCCTGAATGTTCAGCAGCCCAAGAAAGTGCAATGAGGCCACAGCACATGTGGGAGAATGAGCAAAGGACAAAGCTTAGGAGATAAGCTCAGACAGGTATCAAGGAGTCAGATGATGTAAGGCATTTTAGGCCATTGTAAGGCCTTTGGCTTTTACTCTAAGATGGGACGTGATTGGCACACTGCCATACTATGATTAATAAATATTCAGTGTGGAACTAAGCAGAGGAGGAAATATAAACCCAGGCCACTTCAATCCTAGCTCTCGAGAGAAACTGTTTCAGTCACCAGGCTTTAATGGATATTATAACTTTATAAAGATAACTCTATCCATGAAGATTAATATCAGCTACCATAATTTTTTCTCCCTTTATTTTATTTCTTTTTTGTTTAGTTAGAATACAACCTTGAGAAGTTGTTTCTTATAGGGAGCATGGGTAGGACATTTTAAAGCATGGCATATCTGAAAATGTCTTATAAATTCTTGCCATTAAACTTGGAAAGAATTCCTCCATTGACTTATAGCATTCTTCATTAATGGTGAGAAGTCTTGTCTTAGCACAACAGTCTGATTCCAATTTTGTTGTAGATACCATTATCCTTTCCTGAAAGCTTTGGGGATTTTTTACTTTATGCTTAGAGTTATAAATTTCAGCCCAATATATCTAAGATGTGGGCACATTTGTGCTAGTCAGCATAAGGCGTGCTCCTCTAATCTGAAGACTCGCATGATCCATTAACAGAGAAACAAGAAAAACTGACTTGTTATGTCTTAGATTATTTTCTCTATCTTTAAGCAAGTTGGATCTCTCTTCTGTGAAGTATGTGTGAGAAAGGAGGTGAGGGGGAGTTACACACACACACATACACGGGGAGGGGGAGAGAGGGAGAGGGGGGAAGAGAGAGAGAGAGAGAGAGAGAGAGAGAGAGAGAGAGAGAGGAGAGAGAAGAGGAGAGAGAAGGAGAGAGAGAAGGAGAGAGTATTAAACCAGATTATTAATTTTCCGGGATCTCTCTTCTGTACGCTAGTTGTTCCTTTTCAATAATACTGTTCTTTGGTTATGGATACATCATTCTTTTGAGTATCTCTGAGGATAGTTAGAATTCTTTTAATTCTGGAAACCAAGAAGAATATTATCTTAATTTCTTCTGTGATGAGTCCCCACCCCCTAATCCCAGGCTGTTTTTCTCAAACTTTTTCCCCCTCAAATATCTGATAATCCAATCCCTGGTTGTCAGTCATATTTTAAGTAAAGCAATAAATTGACATTCCCCATGATGTACATAAAAAGGAAGCAATGATGGTTACTATTTATAAAGAATGCTATTTAAATTGACCTGTAAGCTATTCCTCTTTATCTAATATTGATAGTTTCTCTCATATTAAAGTGCCTTTTCAGTCAGTCTTAAGCAAACAGGGAATGTGTAAAATGAGCACAATTTGGGATAAACAGAGTTTTCATAAGCATCTTAAAAAATAAACCAACTGTATAAATGGCAAAATCCCAAACTTTAAAACAAATTTCATTTGTAACCTATCAGCAGTTAAAGAGGTAAGTATTTTAGGTAAAAGCACGATTACACTGAAATATGTACATAAGAAGAAAGCAAACCTTTCCCCCTTAAAAACAAAAACTTTCCTTGGGATTAAAAAAATATAAACCTAGCTTTATGAGCTTCTTTGGCTCTACAAGTCAACTTTAAAGTAACCTCTCTTGCTCTTATTCTCTGTGTCTCTGCCTCTCATATACATACACGTTCGCAGAATCTTAAAAACTAATGCCATATTCATCTGTGACACTAGAGGACCTCAGCTGCATACTACTTGAACACAGGTAGCTTTCTTAGGAAATTAAAACCAAAGCTTTAAGGGAATTTTTTTATTAAACCAGTTCTGAAACTGTTGAACACAGAAGACTGCATAATCTACTTTCTATACTGGGCTTTTACTAATTAATTATAAGATACTAGACAGATATTAGTCTTCCATGTCAAAAAGCACATTCATGTTAAAAATGAGCTAATGAATATATATACAAAAATAATTTTTAAAAATTCAAACATATAAAAAAAGTTAAAGCTCATGACATACCCTTTCTAGCTATTACTTGAGACTACATGTCAGTGATAGTTAATGGACTCAGTACTCTTCAGTTGAAATCAGACAGTAAATCATATTTGCTTTTCTGCCTTTTTGTACTTTTATGATTTAATTTTAAGGTACATAAAAGAAAAATTATGGTATTTTATATAATGAGGAGAAAGAATCAGTATTTGTAGAATTTTGTATACATACTTGTTTTCAAAGCTATATTCTTTAATATTGCCAAAAACTTTGATCATGAAATCTTTTTAAAGTAGCTAGTACAATTATAACTCAACAGCAAGGTAAAACTATCACAGGTCCAGTAATAGCTAACATATTACAGTTTAATTGAATATGGATGCTATAAAGGGGATTTTAGGATTAAGAGAATGGAATTCACATAATTAAAAAAAAATTGGCAGCGCACAACATTCTACACAATATTCTACACAATTCCCAAGTCAGAATCTTGTTAAAATGGGAAAGCCATCACTAACATGGAAAATGTAAATTACACCTCAAGTCAGAAAATATTTTACTTCTTTTGAAATTTTCAGTCACTCATTTCTTCAGGGACCAGGCAGCTAGCACCTACTTCGTCACCACTGTCCCTGACAAATGAACATAAGAATCCCTAGTTATTACAAATATATGAATACCTATGACCAAAAAGTAGCTTTCAAATGAATATGATTTATATTTTATAATAGAGCAAGAACACATTTTAAGATATTTTCATTTATACTCAAACATATCAATTGAGTTTTTAGGCCCATGTATACCAAGAAAAAGAATCAATATTCACAGTCGAGAAGCCTACAGGATAGTGAGAAAGACAGATTGATAAACTGATAATTTCAATACAAGCAATTAGGCTAGTAGATGAGAATTAGTCATCCTTTCCCTTTGTCTTCAGAGGAAAATAAAACATGAAAATTTATTAATTACACTGGTAATACAAAAAGAGACCCAAAAAGTCATCAATCTTGGGAAAGTAAGATTAAAAATTAAAAGAGAAAACCACCACTGTCACCCATAACAAATGTTGATAGTTTCTAGGCATGAGTTAACTGTTACATTTGGATTTTGAATATGGTTTAATAAGTTTTCAAATATATAAGGTTAGTATAATCCCAAAT